CTTATTAATCCTATTTTCTGTAATACTAGCTTACTAATCGTTAATTACTAATGCTATGACTCATAATGACTAATCCTGTGAGTCACTATTACAAATAAATAATTATGTCATAAAATAAGTTAAAAATAGAAATGATGTAATGTGTAACACGACGCAGTATGTGGCGTAGTTGTTACACAAAATATTAAGATAAAAATAGAAAATGATGTCATTATCACGTGGCTGCCGCAATAAGTTGGTTCCGATTGATCGACGTGCTCGGGACTTCTTCAGCCCTCATTTACAATCTCACAACACTAGATATTTGGTTTTTTATAAAAATTTTTTTATATGGATGGCTCGGTCTAAAGACCTCCAATTGCTGCGCCACGTGGACAAATTTCAAAAATAGCGGTTTCGTGATTCGTTCAAAAATGCAATAAAATTTTTTAAAAAAAGGGTTTCACGTGATTTTGGATAAAAAATTATTTTCCTTACTGCCAAATTTAGATATGATGTTCGAGTATTAGTCTAAATTTAGTAAGGATGATCGAAAAATAGTCTAAATTTAGCAATGATCTTAGTGGTCAAATTCAGCAAGCATAGTAAAATACATGTTTTAAAAAAGAATAGAACTCTACAACAAAGAATTTTTTTGAGAAAATCTTGTTATTTACATTAAAACTAAAGACCTATTCTATCAACTAATAATGCCATTTTTTTAAAATGTAGGACAGATAATGACTTCTATATTTTTAAAATTTGCTCAAAATTTAGGAGGTCTTTAGACCAAGCCAACTATAAAGAATTAATTAATGAAAATTCGACCATTTCACCAAAATTTATTTTTAAATTTTTGCCCTACCAAAAATTCGGCCGTTTCACCAAAATTTGTTATGATAAATTTTTGGGGTTCAAAACAATCAATTTCGTGTAACAAATTTTCAGGAGTCATTTTCTCAAAATAATTTAATATGACTTAATTCGTGATCCATCAATGAAGGAAAGGATCAACATAGTAAAATTCGGGGATAAGTATCATAGTAAAATCTATTACAGTCAGGGAATATTCCAAATATGGAAATGAATTCCAGAAAAATCCCGTCGATCAATTCATATATTTACAAACGAATTAAAAATAAATTTTCTGTATTACTAAACGCTGCATATTTTATCGAACC